TGTACAGTACTATATAATAATGTATAATGTACTTTATTATTACTGTATTCAAAGTTGGTAATGTCTTACTGTGTGTAATTTATCAATTACCATATGTAAGTAGCCCACATAAAAATCATGTTAAATATGGAGTTCGCAGTTGGTTCGCTATTATCCGGGGTTTCGGCTATCCGGGGGTAGGTCTTGGAATGTAACACCTACCGATACAGGAGGACTAATGTAGCACTTTTTTTCCCAGGACAATTACAAGGAAGTCTTACTTCCACTTTGCATTTCACCTTACTAGAGGTAAAGTCATTGCTGTTGACTGAGGGCTCATTATATTACACAGATAAATGCTGTAGTAAAGTAAAGATAAGGCATGTTTGGAAAGCTATCTGGATCAACAGTAACCCAATAGCTAATGGTGATGGTCGCTGTGACTCACTTCATAGAAGTTAATCTAAAATAGAAAGGCTGAGGTCTATTATGAATCAATACAATCTTCATGAATGGAACATAAAGAGTAACCTTTAATGTCCGAAAATCCCATTTGCAACTATACTTTTCTGGCAAATGTACTTTGTTAAGAGGGAGTTCTGTTGCATTGTATCTGTTAAAAGAATCATTTGTTCCAATTAAAAGTAATTTTGGATTTTCAATGGGCTGAAAAATGTGAGGTTAACAGTGGCACAAATTCGGAATTCTCCAGTCTTGTGGACTCGTGGAAGGAATGGAATAATTTACCCTTCCTGACATTCTAACATTGGTCCACTTAGCCCATATTTCAAAGTGCAATGACAAATTGAAAAGGGGCATTGGAATGGCACCGGTAAATGGCAACAAAAAAAAAAGTCTCTGGAGCAGAGTTTCTCAAACCGGTCCTTGGAAATCCAACCCGAGGACCTGGTCAAGAAACACTGCTCTATAGCGCCCCCTGCTGAGCCACCTCTGCTATTCTACCTCAGCAATTCCACATCACCCGAGTGGATTACAATTCCTCTTTATTATTAAATCCACTGTCAAGTTCCTCTTTTGAGTTTTTTCTTTAAGTCAGAGCATATTCCTTAAACATCAAGCCGATTCTAAGTTTCTGACAGCCTTGACAATTCCTTGTGGCAAGTGCGGGATCAAAAACAGTTGCGCCAATGAATATCAACAGGTGAAATTCAAGTTAGGAAACATTTTTGTCCATCATTCAATATACAGAGCTGGTTAGGCGTGTTGGGCTCACAACAACAAAATTAACTTCATCCTTGTATATTAATGATAACCACTATACATACAGGATGCATAAAAGATAAACTATATGCATATGGAAAAGATATTATACTTGCATTAAGTGCAATACTTGAATTAACATTTTATAACATTATGAATTATGCATAAACAATTACGGAAGCTTGGTGTAGCGATTAAGATATGCCGATGTAAGACCTGTGGGCGTGCATTACCGTTTTACAATTACACATGTAACTGATATTTACATCCGATGTCAAGCTGCTTCTGTTAGAACGGAATTCAGTCAATATATCACGGAAATACGTTTCCTAACCTAATAGCCTATATCGACATGTCATGTATAATTGGCTATGTGCATTATCCATAACAATCCTAGGGCCACCAGCAACTGGAGACTGAATTCACCAACTACCTACCAGGTGAGGGACAAACCCTTCGGTCATGCCCAGTAACGAAGAGAAGGACAGCAGAAGTGCTCACAACCATAACGGAAGCTCTGTGTGACGTATGCCTGACCGAGCACATGACATACGGGGAAATTCAGCGCGTGGACACACAGGATACATTTTTCTGAATGATTAGGTTTAGCTGAGTGTGCCTGACATGGTGAAGGGGGTGAGATGGATTACCTTGGACCTGAAGGGCTCGGGGAAGCCACCATAGGGGGTGCCGACGTAGCCCTGCAGAAACTCCACCACCGACAGTGGGAAGGACAGCTCATCCGCCTGCTTCTCCACCTCCTCTCGCGTGAGGGAGTTTTGCACCATGAACTGGGCCAGGTCTCCCACGATCTTGGAGGATGGTGTCACCTGTAAGGCACACAGGATGGGGGGGGTGGGGTGGATATTGAAGCTCTTAAAACCTTCTCCCAAATGCAGATGTTTACATGGGTGTGTGTCTCAGAACCATGACAGCTACGTCCAAAATGCCCGTAAGCAGGGAACGGAGTGAGAGAGCAGGGCGACGTGGCAGTGGATGAAAGGCCAAGTCGATCATCTGTAACCTGCAGGTCTTACAGAATACATTTTAATTAGCAAGTGCTCCACTTCTAATGTGACTTACTACCCAATTAATTACATCAATAAAGCAATCGGTAGCAGACACTGGGGGGGGGCACCAGGACATTCTGCAGCCAACGACTCAGAGCTACGACCCCCTAGAGAAGAAGAATACAAAGCTGAATCTGGGAGGTAACCGTAAAGCTAGCATCCTGGTCTGGGCTCATGCATGTCAGCTCTGCTTTCCAACCTCGAAATTTGTTAGGCCTCTAGGCAATGCAGCAGAGTCCATCAGTCACATCATCTGATAGTTACAACAAACAGGCATCTCCCAGTTAAGAACACCCCAACTTACAGACTACTTACAAATGGACTGCCATAAAGCCTATTATATTAAAAATTCAGCTTAAATACTATGGTCTGTAATAACGAATGCACACACTACCTTGTGACGTGAAAACATTGCACAGCTTCAGCAGTTTGTCAGCTCGAGGTACAGTACAGTATCGTATGGAGTTACTTTTATTATTATTATTATTATTATTTACCGTGTTATTATATTTCCGACTTATCTCGTTTGCAACCTAGGGACTGTCTGTTTGTGAAGCGTAAAAGCTATTTAGTTAACCTGTGCCATTCAATGAGAATACAGGTGTGCAAATTAGCAAAGGGTAATAATATTTAAGGAATCGATAGATTAACTAACTGACTAACAGATTAATGGCTCCGCTTAAATGGAACAAAAAATAATAATAAATGGAGGGAGAGACAACATCACCAATTGAAGCACCTCTGGGAGGACACACACATAAAACTATGGGCGGAATTTAATTATGTGCTCGATCAAGCCTCAATAATTAAGAATTCAGGGGCTATACACAGAAGCCCCACTTGGACCAGGACTGGGTAACCATTATCTAAGAAATGAAAACAAGCAAGCATTCCCGTTAAACCAAAATAGAGAAAGCATTTAGCTAAATTTTTTATGGGCCACTAATTTTAAAAGCTATGCAGATGAAAAATTGTCATCCTTTTGGAGGGGGGGCAAACAAACAACAGATTATGTATAGTGCTCAACAGCCTAAGGGATTGTGGGTAATCACACAGTAAAAGCACAATTAGGGAGATAAAAGGTTGAGATAAGGGATGAAGCACATTGGGAAACAGAAAAAAAATATTAAAAGACTTTCCATTATTAGGCAAATCATGATACGACATTTATGTGTATAAAGCAGCATGAATTGAGAGGTGAGGTAATGAAATCACCATTATCTGTTCACACAATGTTGCTTTACATAGGGTGCATTTTGTAAATGCTGTGGCAATAATTGCATTTGCCCATGATGTCATTAAAGCACAAAGGAATCTAAGGGACATTACTGAAGGCACTGTGCAATAGCACACTGAGGAAGGAACAGATACACGGAGGGAGAGAGAGAGGAGGGAGGCATCCAGTGGAAAACAAAACATAGCTGAAAACAAGTTCGCGTAGAGCCAAAATGTAGTGGGCAAAACAGGGTAGGCATCATGGTGCCTTTCACACACACACACACACACTTATCTGAGGTAGATCTTGGAACGTATCACCCATGGATATATGCTTTTTGGTCCATATTCCCCAGCCCTACATATGTTACCATCCCACCTGCCCCTCTATGAAAATCTCGGGCCCGTCCATCACAATTTTCCTGGCACCAGCACCGGACTCACCGGCAACAGACCCGAGGGACAGAACATCTGTCTTTAACATGGATCAGCCTCATTGACTCCATTGGCACATTGTCCACCTGTTATTAACAATTTTAACTATGTAGGAATCAGAATGGGGGGGGGGGGTGTAGGTTAATTCTTCCAAGCGAAACGAAGTAAAAGCGGAACCACGCAGGCAGGTGCCACTTATGTGTTGAGGCAATGCCCACGGCCGCAGAGGGAGCTGATGTGTCTGCCTTACAGAACACTGCTGACCTGTCTCTGGGCCAAAAGGCTAGGAGAGGATCAGCCAGAGAAGTTATTCTGATGCACCTTTAAAACGGTTTCCCAATCCGGTCCTCGGGGAGCCACAGATGGTCCACATTTTTGCTACCTCCCAGCTCACAAACAACAACGAGGACTGTCTGGCAGGGAGCAGGGAGGGAGAAAAAACGCGGACCCTCTGTGGCTCTCCGAGGGCCGGATTGGGAAACAGGGTTTAAAACATTTTAGCACATTGTGAGACATGATGAGTTGAAGGCAGAGTGACTGAGAGAGATTAAAGAGAGATGGAGTGAGAGATGGGGAGGACGGGGGAAGAGAGCAGGGCGCAGAGAGACACAGCGGCATGTGTGTGATAAGTGCTGCGCATGTCAAGGCTTCACAGGCCTATTCGAGGGTGTGATGGAATCATTTCTAGACTTCGGGAAAAAGCTGAAAAAGAAACGATGTCAGATATAAGCAGTGCAGGACATCTGGGCGATCCCTAGCAAGTTCGACCAGCGGTCATTATTGTCTAGCAGTCTGTCAACCAACCTCCCTGTCTCTAAAAGCTGCTCATCCAGTGAGAAGGCATGGGCGCAGGGTAGGGAACATTCCAGAAGGGTCACCACACACAGTGGGTACAAATGGAGGTGAAAGCACCACACAGGTAGGAATTCAGCCAGATTCAAATCCATGACCTGCATCGGGGGCTCAGCGCCGCCTTTGGCCCTGTCCATTAAATGGAGCGTTTGAGGAGCCTCTGGCTTGGCGACCGACAGACCTACATCTGCAGCGTGCCGCGTCTGGCACGGGCAGGGAGCCTCCCACCTTGATGAGGTCGCCCAGCAGCTTGTTGGCCCCCACGTACGCCTTCTTCACCTCCTTGAACTTGTGGCCCAGCCCCATGCTGTGGGCCTGGAAGTGCAGGTTGGTGTACTGACCGCCGGGGATCTCGTTCTCGTAGACGTCGGCGTTGCCCGACTTCATGGTGGCTGTGCAGTCGAAGGCGGCGTAGAGGCCCCGCGCAGCCTCCCAGTACTCGCTGTAGTCGAAGACCTTCTCCAGGCTCACGCCTGGGGAGGGTGTTAATGGGGAATGGATAAGATGGACGGCCCAGTGTATGGAACCGTCTGCTGGCTGCCAGCGACGTCACTCTGACTAATAGTGTCGGCTAATTAGTGCCCCCCCAAAAAACAAAATGCCACCCGTTGATCACCTGCTGCACGATTAGTGCTCACGCCACCAGACAGGAACGCCCAGGTGCGCAGGGACACACACAAAACTAATTAGGGTTTAACGGCTTAACGAATTAACGGGATCCTCCTGCCTTGAGTGTTTGAATTCAGTCTCACTCAGATTCCGCAAAAGCTTAAGGATTCTTCGAGAGAAGGGGCCACACAGATGCTCCCTGGGAATACCAGGACCCCCCCCCCCCTGTCCATTCCCTGTGCTCCTTGCAGGTTTGTGGGACGCTCCATCGAGAGACATTCTGTTGGACCGTTAAGCAGCGTCTCTGGGACAGGCAGAGCAGTGACAGGGGACATTAAGTTTACGGCATGCAAACGAGAGCAGCTCGTAAGGAAGGCCAGAATGCCGCAGGCCCGCCTCACGGACTCCTCGAAGGTTTAAAACGTTAATATTTTACGGGCGTTCGGCGGGGTTCCGGAGAGGGGGTGGGGGCTGCGTATCACCACGGTGATTACCAATGTGCCGCGTCGTTATGTAGCGATTACCGATGACAGGCCGCTTATTCAGCCCAGTTTACTTACAGGAAATAAATTCTGAGAGGAAAAGCTGTATTAGAAGCATTTTTTAAACCCAGGACCCAACCCTGCAGTTTATGACCAAGTCCACAGCTGATTGGTTACACCTCTGTCACACACACACCTCCAAGGCCCTCTAGACAGGTCCAAGCCATTAAGCTGCCAGACAGTCCTGTCATCCACATGTCATACGTTCACAGATGTGTTCCACTGCTGTCACAGCCCACGGGTGACCCCCCCCCGCCCCCACCCGGGATTCATCAGTCAGAAGCTGCAGCATGAACGCGTTTGGCTATTGGATGCACTTTTAGGTCAGCGGAATCTTCTGCCATTTGCGGGTGGGGTTGTGCAAAGCCGACTAACTGCCTTCTGGGTACAAAGGTACAACAGTAAGTATGATGTCATGTGACAGATCCGCTGCCCGGGTTGCTGTGGAGTCGTCATGGCAGCAGACCATGTGACCCCCAGCACCGGTGTGTGTGGTTAATATGAATGATGGATTCTCCAAAACAAAAAAAAGGGATTCGGCTTCTGGTCCTGGAAGGGGAAATACCTTCTGTGCCTTTGAGAAGAGCTGGAGCAGGGTGTGGTTTAGGGAAAAGAGCTTGTGGAGAATAAGATGAGTGAGAATGAGCCGTATTTCATTGGTAAAGAGACAAACAGAGAAATAGCGGCTCAAATGGGCAAAACGGATAAATATAGAGGAGAGCGTTTAACGAGAGGGGAAGCTGTCGGGGGAGAGCGAGGAAGCAGACGGCGCATCTGCCAGGCAGGATACACTGACAGCTCGCAGACAATTCAATTAACAGCGTGGGCTCACACGGGGGCACGGCGCCACCTGGGGGTGTGGAGGTGCGAGGAGGGGGTGGGGGGCTGAGGCAGAGTGCGAGCGGGGAGGGGGGCAGACAGATGCAAACACACACACACACACACACACACGGAAACACACAGACATACAGGCAGACGGAAACTTGACATTTTCAGTTTTTTGACTGCAGTCAATTTTATAAAAATAAGTGAGTTTCCAAAAAATAAGGTCAAAATTACAGGTTATCACATTTGGTACCCAGAATATAATAGACACATGAACCCCCCCTGCCCACCCCACACACACACTCACTCCCGGCATTAATAAGGCCCCCCCTTCCTGCAGTTATGGGTCACGTGCCAGTTCTGTACCTCCATCCCCTTGGTACCGTTGGGGGGGGGCAGGCTGTGTCAGCAGGTCACATGTAAGTAGCAAGGCAAACTCACCAGCCGGGACACCCCCCCCGGGCCCGGCTGCCTGCTTGCCTGCTCCACACATTGCTGAATCCCCCCCCCACGGGCACCTCCCCGCCCGCCACACCCTCCGCCCGCACGAGCCACGTCCGGTTACCATTTACATTCGGTTGACTGTGAGCCTCCGGCACGTTTTCTATGTGGTTAAAGACGAACAGGATGAGGCAGGGGCCTGGCGTAACCATAGCAACGTGTCATCGGCCAATGAGCCGGGGCGCCGGGGGGCCGGAGCTTACGGAGCTCCGGGTCACGAGAGCGGCACCAGCACCTGGCCTGGTGATTAGCGAGCCGGACCCGTGACGGGAAGGTCGCCGCCTCCGATCCCGAGAACGGACCTCGAAGCTTCTTCGGGGGCCACGGTAAGAACCGTGCAGAGAAAACCCAGCGGACGGAGTGTTCCGGAAGCTGCTGGTGCGTTTCGGTGACCACCGAGCTGGAGGGAGCGGGCAGAGTCGGGAAGCCCCAGCGATAGCCGGGCGGATCTTTCCGGAGAAGTTGGCAGCGGCCGTACCGATAGCATCCCGCGTCGCCGCGATCGATGGGCAGAGAGCGATTAGCAGGACGCGACTCGGTTTGCTAATCAGCCCGGAGACCTGGACTCTCCTGGGATGCGAATCGTTTAGCAAATTAGCCAGAGGGAGCGATTAAACTTCTGAGTGACCGAGATAATCTACAGGGAAGACACACCATTGCAATCTCGGGGGGGGGGGGGCAGACTCACCAGTCTCTAGCTCTGTGCCACGGGTGCAGGCCACCACTGCCCCCATGCTGGGCTGCGACGTCATGCCCGCCATGGAGTCCACTGCCACGTCCACCACGTCCGCCCCCGCCTCGGCGCACGCCAGCATCGCCGCCACGCCCGCTCCCGCCGTATCGTGCGTGTGCACGTGGATGGGCACCTCCGGGAAGCGGTCGCGGAGGGCACCGACAAGCAGGCGGCTCGACGTGGGCTTCAGCAGGCCGGCCATGTCCTGGTGGGGGGTCAGTTATTAATGCCATGATTAATACATAATCATCTGACTGACTGACAGAGCACCATGAGAACGGCAGAGGGAGGGGTCGCGGCCCGCTACGGCAGGGGGAGGGGTCGCGGCCCGCTACGGCAGATTCCTTGGCCACACCCTCACCTTAATGGCTAGAATGTGTGTCCCGGCCCGAACCAGCTCCGCAGCCAGGTCCAGGTAGTATTCCAGCGAGTACTTCTGCCGCATGGGGTCGGCGACGTCGCCCGTGTAGGAGATCGCAGCCTCCACCACCCCCCCCGCTGCCCCCGCCGCCTCCATGCCCAGGATCATGTTGGGAAGGTAGTTGAGAGAGTCGAAAACGCGGAAGATATCCATGCCGTTCTCCTTGGCCACCTCGCAGAACCTGGATTTGGTTTGTTTTTTTGGGGGCGGGGTGAGATTAAAAAAAAAAAAAGGGGGATGGGGGAGAAGAAAACAAAAATAGCAAATGGGAGAGAGCGCCAGAAATATGCCATCGCCTTGACGACGGCCGAGGTGAAGGAGCAGGTGTGTCGAGTCTCACGTGCCCCTTTTCACGTACCCGCCTCACACCCCCCCGGCCAGCTGAGCCCCCCCCCTTATGCACACCAGACCCCAGTGCCCCCTTTGCCAGCTGCTGCCTGTAACTTACCTCCGGTTTCACAGACCACATGTCAAACATGCGGCGCAGTAAAAGCGCAGTAAATCACACGCGTGCGGAAAAACGTGCAGGGCGGACAGGCCGCGGACGTCACCAACGTGCGGTTTACTCACTGAGCCACCTCGTTAATGCAAGGGCATCCCGGACCGTCCCAGATGAGGTACATGACCTTCCGTGATCAGAGCACGGTCACCTTGCACTGTCTGCGCTATGGCAGTACCGCTTCTGCTTTTCTCCAGACCCGTCTGGGACCACACACTCCGAAAAATCAGGAGTGGGGTCCAAATGTCTTCGCCACGCAGCTTCCGGACACTTACAGAAACACCTCCCCCGACCCCCCAACAATCCCTTGCGGCTGCCGAAACATCTATAGCCAGTCCCAGACCCTCATCCGGCTTCGTGTGTTCGGAGATCCCTCCAGGGGCGTTTGCCACGAACAGTGGGCCACCCCCTGAGTTCAGAGGGGGGGGGGCAACTGGTGTCAAAATTGATACAGAAAGTCCTCAAAACCGACAATATTTGGGTTGTGTGAGACACAGCTGACAAGGTAAGGTGTTGATTGGCAAAAATGCTGCGACATCAGAGCAGAGAATCATGGGAAGGCGGTTAGGGGTGAGGTTACACGTTCACTGACTTGTAGACGGCGTTGTCGGGGTAATTGGTGTATCCCACGGCGTTGGCACCCCGCAGAAGCATCTGGAAGGGCACGTTGGGGAGGAGGGCCCGGAGCTCTTGTAATCGTCGCCAGGGACACTCGTACAGGAAGCGCATGGCCACGTCGAAGGTGGCACCTGCGGGGGGGGGGTCAGTTGTGCTGGTTGTCGGGGTATAACGTTGCACAATCTGTGCTCACGACTCTGGAACTCCAAGTAAGATCCTAAGCGACCGTCTGCCCACGCCCCCCCCATACTCACCACCCCAGTTCTCCACGCTGAACAGGTTGCTGAAGTTGTGCCCGACGAAGGGGGCGATTTTCTTGAGGTCGTGCGTGCGCACGCGCGTGGCCAGCAGCGACTGGTGCGCGTCGCGGAACGTGGTGTCCATGAGGAGGAGGCCGCGGTGGGAGCGAACTGCCCGCGCGAAACCCTCGGGGCCCTCCCGCAGCAGCACGTCCCGGAAGCCGCCCGGCGGCTCGCCTGCGAACCACAGCAGCCGGTCATTACCGAAACCCACCACTGGGGGGCGGCGATAAAAAGCTACCTCTAAAAATATGAACGTGCCGCAGGGAGACGGGGCGACGTTATCCTAGAGCGAAATCAATTAGCGGCAACTTGCGCGTCCTCTGCCTCTTATCCGCCAAGCAGAAAGGCTCGATACACTTGCCAAAGGCACCAGGGCAACATGGACAGCCTGTTACAGCTGCATTACTGTCATTAAACGCAGCTCTTAATCCGCTTAGACGCGCGAGTGACGGTGCGCGGGCATCCGTCCGCTGACTCCGCTCCGTCTCGTCCATGCCAGCGAGTAATTGGCTTTTTATCGGAGCGGCCATGAACGTCTCAAATGTGGGGCGTCAACAAAAGGGATTAAAATTGAACAGCGACATACGGAGTGTTGCAACTGGGTCTGTGAAGGTGCTGAATTTTTTTTTTAATGCAAAACGTGCAAGATGAGTCAGACTGATCCCTCCTTGTATCTGCAGCTAGGGCACAAACATCAGGTAGGGGACAAGGATTTGATGGACTTGACCCTACAACCTCCATGAACCTGAATCATGAACCTGTAACGCCACGGATGATGGTTCAAGCTGAGTAAAGTCTAGAAACAAGCTAGATTTTCCTCTCGGAGCCACTAGGGGGAGCAGGAGTAGCCGTAGATGCCCCCCCCCTGCAAGAATCCTGGCCCATGTGGGAGACATGAAACATTCATGGGTGAATGTGAGCAACAGGGGGCGGGGCCAGTGACGGGTGAGCACACGACTGGTCCGTGGGTGGGTTATGAGTAGTTGCGCATCGTGCGTCGCGCGCCATGTGCCAAAGAGGGGCGACGGGGAGGGGAGAGGAGGGCCTACTCACCGAGGGGCACCATGGGCACGACAGGGTCAATGGGTGATGGCTTGGCCTTGACAGGTATGGGCGTGGTCGGGCCGTTCACCATCACGTGACCTGAGGAGGAGATGGAGGGAAAGAGAGGGAGAGCAGCCATTTTAGACACACCCCCCCTTCTTGGCAAACGCGGCCGCCATCCTCGCCGTAAGACACTCGGGTGAGCTTGCGGTAACGGCACCGGCAATGCGTCACCAAAGGGAACCTCGCTTTGGCGGCAGCTGGTCGATACGTCGCCACTTAACGTATCGAATCGGAACGAGAACATCCCTTAGAGGAAGGCGGTGTCGATACTCCCTGGGGACATCCTGATTCAGGCGAGTGGGGGGGGGTTAGGGGGACACTAAACTCTCAAACAGAACTCGCGGAGTGGGGATTCATTAAATCGTGACCCCCAAGGTTATGGGTTTGAGTAATGAGGCCAATGATCAGTGACATATGCAGGGGCGGGGCCAGAGGGACAGCAGCCCCAGCTGAAGGCTGATTGGCCCCTGAAGCGCACCCTCCCCTGTCACTCAATGATTCAAATCACCTCACTGGCTAATATGAGTGGGTCCTGCGTGCATCATTATGGCCCTCTTATGCGCCCCAGCTTGAGCACAGTGCTTAAGTGAAACATCCCTACAGGCAGGCCATCTCATGCGTGGATGGGGGGGTGGGTGCTGGTAACAGAGCGAGGCGGGTCACGAACCCAGGTAGTGCAGCAGCTTCTGGGCCCGGTTCTGCACGGGCCGCAGGTTGAACAGCTCCTGGTTCTCGTCGATGAACTGTGTGTCCACGGTGTTGTAGAGGAACTGGTCGTTGCTCAGGACATTCTGCAGGAAGGGGATGTTCGTCTGGGGGAAAGGAGGGGGGGGGCAGGGGGGAAAGAGTAGGTGGCGTGTCAAAAAAAAAATTAGATCAGCGAAACAAAGTCCCGCCCCCCTGGGAAATGGGGTTGGGTACAATCACAGTTCAGAGGAACCAGTAAAAAGCTGACTTACCTAACCTGGGGTGGGGCAGGAAAATTACCACACGCCACCCAGACCCCCCAGTAAAGGGGAGGCAGAGACACACAGGCAGGAGGACCCGCCATGACCTAATGATGGGGGGGGGGGGGGGGTGCTAATTTAACCAGCGTTAAAACAGCCGCCACAGGAAGCGGTCAATGTTTAAATCGGCAGCCTGCATCAGTGTGTGTGCATGGCTCTGACCCGGCCAACACACGGGGGCGCAATGACACCCCACACCCCCCCCAGCAGCTGAAATGCCAGGCAGGCAGCTCTAGAACACTCTGGAACATTTTTTTCCAGGTAGGAGTTTCCAGTAAATCAGCAAGTGAAGGCGAGTTCCCGGCCCCCAGCGTCCGGGGGGCTTAAACGCGAGCCCTTCTAGAGTGTTCCGCGAGGCCTCGTTCCAGAGGACTGCACACATCACGGCTCGCTCATCACTTTCCAGCTGCCGGCCCACTAAACGACTCAAAAGGCTGACAAAACAGATTCGCCGCCCCCGTCCCCCCACCCCCGCCGCTACCTTATAATCGATTTAGACACGCTTTGGTGAACTGCCACGTAACCTTCTGTGCACGTGTGTGTGTGTGTGTGTGTATATATATATACGGGCCACTTGTCAGTCTCCAGCAGAATTTCCGTCACCAAAGGGTGATAAAACAGAATTAATAACTTTGAAAAGTAATAACGGGTCGGCTTTGCGGGAATCCCGAGGGAGACAGACGCTAAGCCACGAGCAGCCAGCATCCGCACCGTCCCCATTACGGCGCCTGAATAAACGAGCTATTCTCCCAGAATGCTTAACGCTGACCCTTAGCGTATTGACGATCCCACTGTTAGCATTCCTTATATGGCATTAGGGCGCAAATCGGTGGTTAGGAGTAGTTGCAGAACACCAAGGAAATCAAAAACCAAAAGAGCAGGTGTTGGACTGCGTTTAAAACCGGCTCAGTGCGGGTCCCGAGTCAGGGGCCCACCTAGGGTCCGAGACGGCGAAGCATGTGTGTTCGGCCCAGTCCATGCAGATAAAAAAAAAGAAAACGGGGGCTGGTTTAACTCGAGACACGGCGGTGCACAGCACACGCCCCGCAGACAGGAGGCTGGGGGGGGGGCTCTATCCTCCCTCTTCCCCCCCGTATCCCTTCACTGCCCTAACAGTCCCTCTTTCATCCGAGATCAAGGGGACGAGTTTGTGGCAGAGAGCCACGCAGACCATCTGCATTAACCCCCGTCGACTGTCTCTGTGCTCCCAAAGGTTTCGGGACCGGTACCGGCAGGAAATGAACTAAGACTCTGTGGGGGTGGGGCGGGGGGGGGGCACAGAAATGCATTAAAAAAAAAATGTTTCAGAGTCCAGATGAGACCACGCCTCAAGTCCTCCATCTTATTTGTCATCTGGGCACATTACAGCCTCCGAAAATTCTGCCCCTCTCTGCCCTCCCCCACCACCACTCCCTCGCCTCCCTCCTCCTTCCTCCGCTCCTAACCCAGTACTGCCTCGGCCACCCTCCGCCGTCTCTCTCGCTCTCTCGCTCGCTCGCTCTCCTCCTCTCTCTCTAAGCAACATTGCAGTCACACTCGCTCCCTGCACCAAAAGCCACAAATCACAAGCTCGACTCACACAGCGGAGGCAAGACGTAAAGGGGGGGGGGGGGGAAGCACAGCGAGCCGACACGACAAAACCCGACGGGGGCTGGGGGTTGGAAAAAAAATAAAAATAAACCGGTGTGCACGGATCGCTATTTTTCTAGCTTGCATTGTTAGTGCAAACCTCCCCCCTCCCTCCCTGGCCAGGTCCGGATGGAGAGAGAGGGAATCGGCACGGACCAAGACGGACGAGATCGGATGTCTCATCGCTGACGGTTGGTTTGTTATGGGGGGGGGGGGAGTGAGAGAGATACAACGAGCAACAGCTTTCGGGGGTGGGGGCACAGCTCTCTAAGGAGAGGGGATCCACGGATATTCTTTGTATTCCCCCCCTCCCCACCTCAGATGACCGAGACCGACAGGACGTGCCGGAGGAGCCGGGGACTGGAGCTGGGGGGCCACTGGATGGGACAGCGCTGCGCCCTGCTGGACGGAGGCAGGTAAAGCGCCCCCAGCTGTCAGCAGGCGGGACTTCGACAGCGGCGGTGAGAGACGCACATGCTCGCTGCCCCCTGCCTAACGAGGATAAAAACCGCCACGGAGCGCGGCGGGAGCGGCACCTGGAACTCCGCGCTCGGAGCTCAGCTCTGCCGGGAAGACTGACTGATCCGGCGCCTCCGACGAGCGACGCCCAACTGACGCCGAGCTCAGAGAACTTCCCACAGAGACGTTTCAGCACTCCCAGGTGGCTAACACCCCCCCCCCCCCCAGACAAGCAAACGTTGGACCGGTGTGCTTTACGACATGCTGGGGCTCGGAAGGGGGGCACCATGGGGCAACAGGGGAGCTCCGGGTTCGAATGCTACGTTTTCTCCAATTCTTAATAGCCCTTGTGGAGAGGGACGAAATACCAGGGGGGTCAAGGTGCACAGGAGTGACCCACAGATCGGGGGCTGATGAGGAAGACTGATTTATTCCTGCACAGTTTGTTTATGGTCAGAGAAGTCTAACAGACTATTATAACAAGTCAGCTCTTGCTCTTTCCTGTCATTCGGCTCCGGAATCATCGGCAAACGATTTCTTAGCGACGAAGGGAACAAATAGGAGCAGGCAGGTGAGAGAGAGCAAAAAAAAGAAAAAAGGAAAAAAAGAAGAAGAAAATCCCTGAGCAAACGATGATAACGAACCGGAGTGAGAGGCTTGCGCAGGCAGGAGGACAAGAAGAAGAGGAGGCGGCGCGGGAATGAGTAAACGACAGCGGCGAGGAAAAGTGGAGGGGACAGAACAATAAGCTGCCCCCCCCCCCCTCCGTGACCAACCGGCGCCGCTCAGGGACCGAGAGACTCCATAAGCCTATTTGGGGCGACCATGGGACCGTTTCCTTGTGGGATTAACGCTTCTCCTGACACAGCTTCAGCTGAGTGGGACTTAGGATTCCCGTAAAAAAAAAAAAAAAAGAATAAAACGTACTCTCGATTCCGTCTGGATTAAAACGGGGTCCCGGCCGCATCGGATCCGGACACTCTTGCGGAAAACGGGATTTTTTTTTCCCCCCTTTCTCTTTCATCTTTTTCCACTCCGGCGTAACGTGGTGAATGTGACCACTCCCTATAGCGACGGCAGCACCTCCACATCCAGGGGATGTGCCGCGCTCCCCGACTCAGGAGGAACCGGCGATACGCGCAGCCCACGCGAAGATCCTGACGCCGGAGGTAGAGTATCTGCGACTTCCCAACCTGGGGGGGTGGGGGCGCCGATAAAGTCCACATCTGCCGCTAGGGAGGGGTGGGGGGCACATTTCTTGGTGGGTGGGGGTGCTTCAGGGGAAAGCAGAGGCAGGCAAGTGCCCCACGTAGTCCACTGCGGGACCACAGAGCACCCAGGAGGGACACGTGAATCCGTGTGTCACTGCCGGGGGGCCACATGCTCACAGACACACACGTGCAGTCTCATCTTCAGACACCCAACTGCTTCATTATCATTCCCCTAGGGTTCCCCCCTCCACCACCCCCCCACCGCTGCCGGGCACACACTCCCGAACCTCACACCGCCGGTGGTAAATCGCATGACGCGACGTTTTTAGCTACGTGAATATTAGCAGATGTGAATCAAAAGCAAGCAGACCAGTCTTATTTAACACATCATTTAACATAATTATCAAACTTCTACAAGTAAAAACATTCGGCGCCTTTTTCTCCTTAGCTTGACAGGCACAGTTACACGTCTCACAATTTCCCTGATTTACAGCCTGGCTCCGTGATTGAATTTTAAGCAGTGTATTAAAAAATTATAATGGGACAGGCTCACTGGGGCCTGAAACACACACACACAGACACACGCTACGGGTCTGGATGGGAGGCTGCCGTGTCACTACAGAGATCTCCCATAAACACATGGAAAAAGAAGACTAACAGGGCTGCACTGTAGACTCAGACCCACAAGGTCATGGGTTTGAGTCCCAATTACCCTCACTCAGTCTTTCTTAGAGTTTTCATCTCATGATTTCCGCAGTTTATGTGAATTTATCTAAAGACTTAAGATTCTTGATTTGTCATATACACAGTTATACAAGTGCAATGTGTAGAGAAATGTACCCTGATTCGGTCCTTAGGCCGTACGATAAACTGCCCGTCGTTAGCGACTGGCATCGTGCACAGGGCGGCCCCTGCCCTGCGTCTTAAGCTGCCCATTTTATTGACTGGTGTGAAGTGTGCAGGTGTTTGGCCATGCTCGTCATGACCCCGGCCTGGCTAAGCATTATGGGAAATGCAGTGTGCAGGTGTTTGGCCATGCTCGTCATGACCCCGGCCTGGCTAAGCATTATGGGAAATGCAGTGTGCAGGTGTATGGCCATGCTCGTCGTGACCCCGGCCTGGCTAAGCATTATGGGAAATGCATGTATAATGCAAGACCCATAGAAGGTGGAGCAAGACGTTGCAAATTAGATTGGAAATGAACCTGGAGCCTCTCTGGCTCCATTTCAAATGACTTGCGATGCTTGCGATTACTCATTGCCAATCAATGGGTAAAGTGTACAGAATTCCTTACAAAGCACGAACATGGGAGGGGGGGGGGGGGGGGCTCCGTTCGGGCCTCTAAGGCCTCGGGTCGGATACAGGTCGGGCTCGTCTCAGATTTCATTTATCCGCAGGATTTCCACCATGAAAAGGATCTTCAGACCTACAAATGCTTTAAGTGTAATTCCTCCAGTGGTATCACTGTAACTCCTCCGGGCTCCGGGGATGCAGGCTGGCATTGTTTGGGTCGGTAAACCCGCATCTGGGCCCCGAGCGAGACCAACAGAGCCCAGGTGCCGGTCTTATCAGTATCCCACTGACCCCGCAGGTTCTCATCACCCTCTGTGTTTGAATTACAATGCTTGAAGGTGAACAGCACCACAGATTGAAATCCAATTTAATTCATTATTCAATTAGAACAAATGCTCTCTCAATGAAATGGCAGGTCTCAAAACACCACATTTGAATTACAAACCCAGAAAATGCAAACAAAATGCAATACAATAACCTTTTTAAAATAACTGTCCCTGCCTTCAGCTCGATATTAACATAACATCATTTCCTTCTGGGTTTTCAAAGAGGTCAATGCCCATTCCCTCTGGTAGCTGGAACATAATTAGCTAACGAATTAAAAGCAATGTTGACATGACTAACATTCACTAGCTCTGCTTCTGTCTGCCGACAGGTTCGAGGACACTTAAGGCTACCATGCCAAACGTCCCACCCCAACACCCTCCTGGAGAACCACACCCATCCCTGACCCTGGACCACCCATCCAGGCAGTCACGAATCCACCCGCTATCCCGACATCGCCCTCCAAAGCTGATTCACCTGGACAGAGACACACCCATCCGCCAACCCGATGATGACCTCCACCTAACGCATAAAGCTCATCTCTGTCCAAAGCCCAATATTCCCTCCCCAAAGCAGCAGAGAACCTTAGGAATCTCTAGGTTCCACCCTTGTGCAGTCTTGTTGACCCTAGTGACCTGTACAGGCCTTCTGCCGGCCCCCATATTGGCGGGCGAGACCTGGGGCATGGTGTCCCACTGCCCCATCCACTGTGTGTGCCGGAACCTCTCAGAATCCCTCAGCACGCTTTGCGTCAACAAAGGTCTCCTCTTTGTGCCACCCAACATCGACCGTCGCACCGTTGAGCTCCGGTTAGCTGATAACTTCATCCTGGAGGTTGGCGGTGACGACTTTGCCAACATGACCGGCCTAGTTGACCTGACACTGTCCCGGAACACCATCCACGCCCTGCGGCCGTTGGCCTTCGCTGCCTTGGAGAGCTTGCGCTCGTTGCACCTGGACACCAACCGGTTGACAGTAGTAGGGCCGCGCGACCTGGCAGGCCTCCTCAACCTGCAGCACCTCATCCTCAACAACAACCAGCTGACCGATGTGTCGGGCGAGGCCTTCGACGACTTCCTGCCCACGCTCGAGGACCTAGACCTATCCTACAACAACTTGCGCAAGGTGCCCTGGGACGCCATCCAGAACATGGCCAGCCTGCACACGCTCAACCTGGACCACAACCTCATAGACCACATCGCCGAGGGCTCCTTCGGCGAGATGTACAAGCTGGCCCGGCTGGACATGACCTCCAACCGGCTGCAGACTCTGCCACCTGACCCTCTGTTCGCCCGCTCGCAGACAGGCGTGATTAGTCCCACCCCCTACAATACCATCATCAGCCTCAACTTCGGTGGCAACCCACTGCATTGCAACTGCGAGCTCCTCTGGCTGCGCAGGCTGATACGGGAGGACGACATGGAGACGTGTGCCACACCCTCGCACCTTGCTGGCCGCTACTTCTGGTCCATCCCTGAGGAGGAGTTCATCTGTGAGCCCCCACTCATAACCCGGCACACACACAAGCTCTGGGTGCTGGAGGGCCAGCGGGCCACCCTCAAGTGCCGTGCCATCGGCGACCCTGAGCCGGTCATCCACTGGGTGTCCCCGGACGACCGCATTGTGGCCAACACCAGCCGCACCCGCTCGTACCGCAACGGCACGTTAGACATCCTGGTGACGCGGGCACGTGACGACGGCGCCTACACCTGCATCGCTATGAACGCTGCTGGTGAGGCCACCGCCCTGGTGGACCTCAAGATCATCCCACTGCCACACCGTGGCAACGGCACCACGCCCCGTGTCTACGGCCGCGACCCCGCCTCTTCTGACATCACTAATGGCAAGGGAGGCACCGACGGACCCGGGACCTCGGCTGTGGCCCGCAACATCACAGCGCAGGACAAGTCCTGGGGGAGGGGGGACAGCAGAGTGGGGGTGCTGGGGGTGACGTCGAGCACGGCGCAGGTGCACTGGCACCTCGGAAGGTCCTCGGGGGGCTACGTGGTGTGGATGTACCAGATTCAGTACAACTGCACTGCCGACGAGACCCTGGTTTACAGGTGAGCAAACCCACAATTGTCCCACCTCACAAATACCTGACTGCATCACTAGCTCTGGCGAGGCTCAGTAGAGGAATCGCCAAGGACGGAGCACCAGGCAAAGCTGCGATTCCCGGGGGGAACGACATCACTCTCCCACAAAACCAAGGAACCCAGCAAGATCAATATAAACACAATAATTAGACAAATTCCATTACGCTAAAACAGATGGCCTTTTGCATGATAAACACCATTTGCAATTTCCTAGAGCGAAATTTCCAAAACGCAGCCAGTATGTCAGGAGAAAACAAATCTATTCACTTAGGTGATTGACAGCTAACTGGAATGCATAGGCCACAAGAACGAGGTCACAGAAAGCCAGAATGTGCATGACCATCAGTCAGCAACAAGCTACTGGCCTGTTTTCATATATATCTTCATTTTGGGGGCGGGGGCACTTCACTGCAGGCATGTTAGAGTGAGGGAGAGCTGAAGGGAGTGAGGGAGACCAAGGGAGAGTTTGACAGAAGACTCTGTGCGAAGAATAATGAAGTCCTTAAATGAGCCTAAACTGTAGAGTCAATACGTATGTCACAACCCATCGTGCTGAAGGAAATGGAGTCATCTGGAACACAGAGAGGGTTACGGATGGGAATGCAGGGAAGGGCACCCGGTGGCAATAAGCTGGGGGGAGGCTGTCACTGTCGGCTCGCTTCTTCATGCTTCCATGCTCCCCTTTCTCTGCTCACATAGCCTTCCTAATCTGATGGTGTCACTTGTCATGAGAGCGTTTGACCAATGGTATCATTGCATGCCCCATGGAAACTGTTTGTGTGCTGTTTGCAATTTGGAGACTGACAGGTGAGAAAGGCGAATAGTGAAAAGGGGGAGGAGGGTGGGTATAGAGAAGGGGTAGAGGAGGGAATGGTTGGAGAGAGGGATAGGATTAGAGACGGGGCAATGGAGGGAAAGGGTGGAGAAAGGGATGGGTATAGAGAAGAGGAGGGAATGGGTGGAGAGAGAGAGAGGATGGTATAGAGAAGGGGAAGAGGAAGGAATGGGTGGAGAAAGGGATGGGTACAGAGAAGGTGTAGAGAAGGGAATGGGTGGAGAGAGAGGTGAATATAGAATTTTAATAGAATCAGCAATGCAGAACACAGAGACAAAACTCTTGGGCTGCTTCTACAAAGCTCACCGCCATCAATCACGTTCTCTGTGGGGTTTAAAATATTGCTGTGCCATGCATCTCGCACACAAACAACACAAACAGCAATGGCGAAAGCAACACTGCCATTGTGGGGATAACAGACAAAGCGCTCTTATGTTGCACTTCAAATGCAAAACAAATGCAATATATAAAGTGAACTCAAAGCACACACAGTGCAGAAAATTTTCCCCTTATTCAGAGCTGCCACAAACGTAACAAATTAAATCCAGAATGGATATGTAAATGTATTAAAAACTGACCTTGATTCTCAACTCATAATTTACAGCTAGGAGCACTTAATAGAATTCAAGCACAATGACAAAATTACTGAGGCCGTGGCAGGGTGGGGGGCTGAGGGGGTTTCAGTGTGAAGGAGGAATGGAAAGAGAAATTAAGTGATGTGTGACTAAGAAGCGGAGCGGAGGAGGGGCTAACGGCAGGTCTAAAATGGGATTTAGAAATGACACACCGTCATGGAGAGCAAGCAATTACATTTCAATGACAAACTCGGAATCACGCAGTATTGACCAATACATTTTCATTAGGTTTTATATATTGATATGGCATGGCGGATATTCTCCGTGTCGGAGTGCAACATTTAGGAGTGTGGCATTTAAAGGCTTTAAGTGCTTTTGAGGAAAAAAAAAAAAAATCTGCTTCCTAAAATTTGTTGCGGAGAATCAGATGGGGGAAAATTCAGTGATAAGATTAAGCTCATGTAAAGAGTTGGGCGTCTGAACGAGAGAGAGCCGGTAATCTCCTCCTGCCTCTCATTTCTGCTCTATAAACATCTCTTCTTCTCCGCTTTTGCGTATGACTTAATCTTTCTTTGGTGTCATTTCTTAAAATGAGTAATTCTATTCACCTCATATCAAGCTTATTTAGCCTTAATTATGAGCTATTTATTACTCGTTTTCCCCGGAAATCAAGTCAGCCTCCAGTCAGTATGGTGCCCCAGTCCACTAGACTGTTGTTGCTCCAACAGGGATCTTCACTGTTCCGGATGCCTTGATCTGTTTCTCTTTTTCTTTCTCCCTGGCAGGATATTGCCCTCAACCAGCAACAGCTTCCTGCTGAAAAACCTGGTTTCCGGGGCGGATTACAACCTGTGTGTTCTGGCCATCTTCGACGACACCATCACTTCCTTGGCGGCCACCAAGGTGCTGGGCTGCGCCCAGTTCAGTACTAAGGACGATTACCCAGAATGCCGCTCACTGCAGGCTCACTTCCTGGGCGGCACGCTGACGCTGATGGTGGGCGGGGTGGTGGTGGTGACCCTGCTGGTGTTCACCGTCACCATGATGGTGAGGCACCGGGCATGCAGCAGCCACGGCGGCCCGCATGGTGACGGCGAGGAGACCGGCTGTCATGGCTCGTCCTCACCCCCTCTACCCAAAGGGACCAATGTGTACTCACAGACCAATGGGAGTGGGGGGGTGACCATGGTGGTGCTGCCCCAGCAAGAAGAGGTCAGGGGGGCACTCCCCAAGGTCAAACCTCCAACCCTCCCCAAGCCCAAGTTCGTCCCGGAGCAGTTCCGTGTGGGACCCACAAAAAACAGCTCAGGGGTGACTTTTCCAAATAAACAGCTCCTGCCTTACCCCCCCGAGGCTGAAAAAGCTGCCCTGTATCACAACCCACCTGCTCATGCCTCCACGTTACCCAAGCAGCTCAAACGGCGCCCCCTGGAGGAGGGTGACACAATCAAAAGAGCCAAACTGAGACTGCCTGTCCTATATGGGTATGACGAAGGCGTGACGGAGTGGAGGTACAGTACGGTGGGAGGGACAGTGGTGAAGCGGGGGGGAGGCAGCAACTGGAGGTCCTCCAGTGCCTACCAGAGCCCACCTCCCAGGAGCCCCTCCCCCAGCCCCAGAGTGACAGCCGGCCGATCCAGACGCAGCTCTTCTCTCGATATGGGCGAGATCGCCACCAGCGCCTACTACAGCTACGCTAAGCAGCTGAGTGTCCTGTGGACGCGGCGGAGCCAGTCGCTGCACGGCATGCTGGCCCAGTGCACTTCCACCCCTGCGGAAGCCCACACGGCCCGCGGATACTTACGCGCCTACAACACCAACAACTCCAACTGTAAGGCAGGCACTGAGGTCAAAGCCAGGCAGCTAGAGGAGAGCGTGGTGTAGGGGGGGGGGGGGGGGGGGGGGGG